AGGAAGGCAGCAAATCACACTGCCACGTGTGTTCCTATGCAACAATTTTGCATGTTCTTCACATGTACCCCAAAACCTAAAATGCAATAAAATAAATAAATGGGGAAAAAAAAAGTTTACTGATTTGAGAGCCCGTTTATTTTGCCAGTATTCTTATCTTATGCTTTATATGATAGTTGAAATTATTTCTTCTGACCTACCAGGGGAATAAATTTACCAGGTATGACATTTGTTATTCACTTAAGTAGTTTGTTAAATTTTCATCCATTTAGTTTCCCTTCATGGGTTCAGCCATAACCCTGCACAGATATTTTAGTATTTTCCCACAGCCTATTCAATTTATAGTTTAAGCAAGACTACCAGGCACCATTCAGGTCATAGCCTAAACACAGTGCCACCAATTTGTCCATGGCTTGCCCATTTTACTTATAAGAAATTATAACCTAGCACATTTTGTTCATGACATCCTGGTCTTCCTTGCCTTGCCATTCTTTTAACTCTGAATATCTCTTATAATGGAAGCAAGCCTTTTAAAACATTTTCCAGATGATCGTCTCTAAATTACAAAGAATCAAATATCAAGCCCACTTTGAGCTTCAAAGAAGGGTAAAATGTGTCATCGATGAAATTATGTAAGTAAAACACACAACACCAAAAAATGTGATGCTATTTACATATGCATTGATTCTGATTGAATCTTGGAATGAAATTTCTGGAACTGGTTTTAGAATACACATTCTGATGATTGTCATTGATACATAAAGATGCAGTAATACAGAGAATGTGCAGAGGAAAGAAAGACCCAGCGTTCTTCACACAAAGGAAATGTAGGGCTCTACATAACCGACCTAAAACTGGAAGAAATTTTACAAAGTAGAATTTGAAACATGATACGGGCACAAATAGTATATTATTTGAAAAGAGTTGCCTCTTTTCTTACCCCTACTTTTTTCTTCTCTTTCATATTTTCTTCAGTAGTGCCAAATTCATTTACTTATCCCAGGCAATTCATCTTTAAACCTTGTCTGCCTGGTTAGGTCAGTTTTATAGTATCTTCCAACACGCTTTCAAAATCTTTTCTTCATACTCTATATGAACCGAACCAGAACATTTCATATAATGCAGTTTTTCTCTATTCCGATATCCATTATTCCACGTTTCAAAGTATGCTCAAACTATTTTTTAGGGTTTGTTTAAAACTTCCTAACAAAAACAAATGCATTAGGTATTCTAAAGGTTACAGAAAAGTTCTTTACTGCAGAGAGGTGAACTCAGAGAATAATAACTGTGAACAATAGTAACAGTAAATCTTGAAGTTTTATTCTACTGTAACAGTCACAAGTTAAAAACACAAGAGAGGTTAACAATCATTCTTCTGGCCTCATCCCAGATCATTTATATGAAGATGGGGCATCTGTAAAAACTCCCCAAGTGATTCCAATAAGCAATGAGGTTTGAAACCTACTATTTATTGATTGATGATAGAGGTAACCAAGAAATCTATATCAGTGAAAAAAATATTGTTTGAAAGTTTTAGTGTGTACTTATATATTTATTTCCTGACTCTAAAATATAGACAATAAATTATAGGTAGTTTTGCAACAGTAGTACTCAAAAATTGAAGAAAAAACTCGAATAAAGTGTACCAAAAATGCCATTAAAAACATCTCACCCAATTGGATGTTCTCAATTTAAAAAGTTAAAACTTAAACTATTTAGGATTCATTACAGTGTAGTAATGGGAAATTAATACATTTATTGATATAGTTTGAAAAATGTTCTACTTGTTAATACACATTGGTTTTATGTTCAGCTGTCCTCTAACTGCTTCAGAAAGAATTTTCAATGATTCTTGCAAAATTTCATTATATTCTCTAAAGAAAAAGAAAAATACATAGAAAAAGAAAATTTCAGAATAGCAATCCTTAATAACATAACAAAGCTACTTTACAGTTTGAATATTAAGTACTTATACACATATAATAGCTACAAATCACCACGGATTTGTGGGCTAAAATGTATGTGTATACATATTATATATACATATATATGGATTCTTTACAAATTTCTACAATAAATTCTACCCTCTTTTATATGAGAATCCTCATATAAATTCCCCAAACCAATGAGCATGTTAATTTTCATATTACATTCAAAAGCTGAATTCTCCCATTGTT